TATTATTAATATTATTTGTATTATTATTATTATTATAAACATTGTTGTTTGTTGTCTTATTGTTGTTAATATCATTATTATCATTTTCGCAATTACCTCTTGTGATCTGTGCAGAGAACAGGCGGGTCTGGTGTACAAAGACGCCGTGTTCATCTCTCCGCACAAGTTTGTCGGAGGACCGGGAACGCCAGGTGAGGTTTCGTTTTCTGCAGTTTGTGTTTCGAAGGACTAAGATTTAAGAACATATTTTTCTCAGAATATGCTGTTCTTGTTAGAGGGCTTGTTCTATTCTCGTCTGTGGATGTTCTGTTAACGGCTGGGGATGTTCTATTCTCGTCTGGAGATGTTCTGTTCTCGTCTGGGGGTGTTCTATTAACGTCTGGGGATGTTCTGTTAATTGCTGGGGTGGCCTGTTAACGTATCTGGGTGTTCTGTTAACGGCTGGGGGTGTTCTGTTAACGTCTGGAGATGTTCTGTTAACGTTTGGAGATGTTCTGTTAACGTATGGGGATGTTCTGTTAACGGCTGGGGGTGTTCTGTTAACGTTTGGAGATGTTCTGTTAACGTCTGGGGATGTTCTGTTAACGGCTGAGGACTTGTTCTATCTACGTCTAAGGTTTAATTTTCCTTTCGTTAGCAAGCCAAACCTGTTAGGTATTGTTTTAAGGGTCTCGTGTAGGCTACTCAGAATAATGAAACCTGAATATTCCTGTAATGAATGCTCTCCTTGTCAAAGGTGAATAGCCTGTTACAGTGGGGTGGGTGGCGGATGCTCTGGTGTGGTTTACCCTTTCTTTCTCATCAAACGTCTAATCGTCTGTATCCCATTGCAAGTGCTGTGAAACTGTCTTTAAAAGATTCCCTGTTTCTAAATGACATACCGTCATTTTCCCCCTCAGGCATCCTGATCGCCAAACGCAATCTATTCAGGAATGAAGAGCCTCACAACGTTGGTGGAGGAACTGTCGTTTTTGTGAGTACCGATAGTTCTGCAGAATGACCTCATACCCCTTGTATCAATACTATTAATAGTAAGAATAGTAACGATGATAATACTGATAATAATGATAATAAATAAATTACACTTTTTATTTGTCCCGAAAGGGCACTTTGGTTTACAAAGGCAAACATACATTTACATACATAAATACATGATTATAAATACGTACATACATAAATGCATGAATAAATTTTTGCACAAATACAGGACAGTTTACAACCATGCAACTGTCGGTCGCCACTGCGCAACGCATTTTATTTTGAGCTGGGGTTGTCATGTCTTACTCAAGGACACACCCCAGTGACCACCCATCCAAACACATGCGGATAACTTGAGAATGACAGATGTACGCCATTGTGGGTGGTTGGCGGGTGCTCTGGTGTGGTTTGCACCTTCTTTCCTATAAAAAAAATCTATCGTCTCTATCTTCCCTCCTTTTTTGTGTTTGTTACTCTCCTGTAACACCTCTAATCTTCAGCACTTATATTATGACTTTATTGTGTTGCTTGCAAGCGCCGTAAAACTCTTACTAAACTAAACCAACAACCATTTATTTTTTCTCCAGGGTCGCGAGTGTAACGGGACGTCCCTGGGCATCGACGGCTGTGACTTGATGTGTTGTGGGCGGGGCTTCCAGACCGAGGAGTACACGGTACAGGAGCGGTGTCAGTGCACGTTCCACTGGTGCTGTGAGGTGCGCTGTAAGGTGTGCACTGTCAACAAAGTCCGGCACACCTGTCTGTGACAGGAAGGTGCGCAAAACAGGCGTAACAGCAGGACGGACGAACTGGAAACTTCATGTCTCCTCTCCAAACACAATAGACTTGTCGTTGAATATTTAAGACTGTGCATTTTGACTTGTGCATTCTGACCTGTGCATCGTGGAAGGCACAATTTGACTCTGTTTGGAACCGTGCTGACCTGTGCATCGTGGATTGCACCATTTGACTCTATTTGGAACCGTATGAAAGACAAGGAGGAAATGGTTGTGTACGCACTCGACGATAGCGATATTGGTGTTGCTTCTGTCATGTGCACGCTCATAGTGCGCACCAGTCCACAAAAGTTTTTGTAAACAGCAAAAAGGAGCGTCCAAGGAAGTGCCCGGTCTAGTATGTTTTGGTTCACATCTCTACCAAGCCCCTACCTCACTTGTTGTAAGTCAAACATGTCCCACGTGCAAGTCAGTGCTCACTTGTGAACGGAATGTTCCAACAGTAATCCCACACTCTGTCTCTCACAATTGTGGGGTAAGGGAAGCCTTGATACTTGGTTTTGTTGGAGTTTGTCTCAACAGAGGTAACAGTGTGTGTATAACAAGACACATTATGTACAGCTGTGTTGTTTGATGTGTGATTCAAGTTGTGCCTTTGACACTCTACCAGTGCAGAGAGAAAAGTCCCACTGACCTGTTCGTGATTGTAAAACATTGTTCAGTTTTCGTCTCTACCAGCAGGATTCAGGAGACGTAGCTTATTTCTGCAAAATGCCCCCCCCCCCCAACCTCTCTCTCTCTTGAATAAAAAAAAGAAAAAGAAAAAAAGGAGAATAAAATATGACTGCTTGACTCAGTGTGTAGTGCCTTTGGTGACCGTGAGAGTCACACAGTGCTGTGTGTATCTATGTCCTACAAAAACATGAATCTATTCTGGCTATGATCTTTGTGATTTTGTTAAAGAATGGAGTCTTTGACTTTTCTTCTACTGATAAATCAGCGGCAAACCCCGACTATGTACACACTTAATAAAACACACAAGAGCAGCTTACGAGCGAAAACAAGCCAAAATCTGAGTCAGAGATGACAACTCCAGGTATTCCACGTCAAGCAACGGTTTGTGCCCTGATGGCTTTTGATTGGCTTCTCTGCTCGATCACGACATTAGTATGTTTGGAAAATGGATCTGATTCTGAACACTTTGACTACTGGAAAAAGCTGAGAGACACAGGATGAGACACTAGGCACGACCCTAGGGTATTTTTGTGCGAGTTGATTCCAGTGTGAAGCAATCTGAGAGATATTCACTACCTTTGGCAGAAAATTGAAGATGTTTCAGTCTCGCTCTTTCCCAGGAACAGTTCAAAGCCTGACTTCCGACGGAAGCTTCATGTCTGATAAACTCATGCGTTACTCTAGAAATACAACAGTAACAGTGATAACAACAGAGATGGCAACATTATGAGGGAAAACCTTCAAACTTCAAACTCCTAGAATTGGTACATGTGCCCCAAAATATCTTTTTTAAAAAGGGAGTGATGTTTTCTTTACTGCAATCTGTACTTAATCTTCCACACAACCTTGCTGCATGTATTTGTCAAGTTCCCGTTTGAGGTGAAATACAATTCATTCTTTTTCCATGTACCATTATAGTGGAATACATTTCGGAAAACCCTAGAAAATCGAAGAGGGCTTGATGGCAGATCCTACGCAATGAGCATGTCTTGGAAGCAAAGGACGTTCAAAGAAATATCCACGATACATATTAAAATTACGCGTCGTATTGATACATATTAAAATTACGCGTCGTATTGATACATATTAAAATTACGCGTCGTATTGATACATATTAAAATTACGCGTCGTATTGATACTGGCTTGAAATTTGTCAGATGTTTAGACTCAACTAGCTGTATGATTTTTTGACAGAAGTATTTACTAGCAATTTAATATTTCTATCAGTTTGTCTGGTAAGGCCGATGACGTCTCCCTGTCCACTCGCTGTTGCTAGTGTCTCTTGAACAATCGTTCGCTTTTTTAGGCTGGAGCAACGAGGAGAAATAAGATTGTTACTTTATATCTCCAACTCAAAGAGGCAAAATGAATCAAAGGCAAGATTATTTCTTTTTTTAAAAACTTTAACACTTCAGTGATGTGACACACCAGTGCGTGATTGACAAGATGTACAGATGTTATTATGTCTTGGTTTCAATAATATATGTATATATATATATATATATATATATATATATATATATATATATATATATATATATATATATATATATATATATATATATATATTATGTTTTACTTGTGTTTGATAATGTCACATCTTTTAATGTTGTGTATGCACACGAGTGAGTGACAGGGGTATTTGACAATGTATTGTACAGAATGATACTATTATGCAAACGCATTCAATGTCCCCATGTTAGCCTTCCCTAAGTGTGAAAGGTGGCTTGCTCCAATAAATCCATCCAAATGCAAAGTGACTGCTCGAAATCAAGTTTATCTCTCCCTAAGAGTCGTTTATACTTTAAATAAAAAACGATACACACTTCGTAATATTGGAAAAAAAAACACCCGACCCTAGATTTTTATCTAAAGCTGTATCCTATGTATGGGCATGTATTTCAACAATTAATGTCTATAAATATATATGAGAGGCAGCGTGGTGGAATCAGGCTCTTGTCAATTAATGGGCATGTAGAGTTATTGGTGTCATCTTCAAGCTTGTTCACTTGTCTTTATTTCAATGAAAAAACATATCCATTTATCTTGAATACGAGTTGAGATATTTGCAAATGAAGGAGGTGGGGATCACCTGTTTTCAGAGGTAAAATTAGTGAGAAAATGGCCACCAAAAATTAATTATTTCCTTAGCTTAAGAGTAACTGAAAATTTACATTTTTGTGCCTTTAATCAACATTTTTAAGAAAAATTCACACAAAAATGAGTTCTTTAGGGCATGAAAGATGTTGAGCAAAAAAAACAAAAATTTGATAAAAACTCACAAACTTGCGGAAAAAATGCAAGTTTCTTCACTTTGATTATTTTGACGAGAGCCTGATTCCATCACGCTGCCTCACATATGCCTTTTGTGCATTGTTTTTCCATAATTTATTTCATCTTGTATGGTAAACTATGCAAATACTTAGCAACACAATACATCCGGAAAATGTCTCATACATCTTTAGTTTCCAACAGCCGGAACTATTCTTTTTTTCCATATTTATTAGAGGGTATTTATAGTGTATATTGGTACTTTCGGAGCTCTTATTTTGGACGGCGTAGTAATGGGTTTTGAGCAGATAAAACCAGCTGCTCCGTTTTGCTAACAGTAAAGTTTCACGAGGTATTTCAATGGTCTGGTCGGCAATCGTGAATGATTTCCAACCCTATTTTCTTGATGACTTAGTACTGCCTGCTTCAAAGCCACGTTCCCCATGGATACAGGCATACAATCGGTGAGTATACTGTAGGGGAAATGAGTTCGAATCTCTCCACCAGTCTTCATACTTTCAATTCACTCATTGCAGACCAATAAGACACGCCCCTATTCGTATACACCGCCGTTTGAATTGAAAACCAAGTATCTAAAAAAATCATTCTACACCATTTATTAGAAACAGCAACACCTTTTTTCGTTGTAATTTATTTTCAAAAGGATTATTTAAACTCAGTAATGTTTGCACATTCGTTAAATATCGATCATTTTCTCTGAGACCGAACCTTCACAAAATTTAAAACAAAATGATTTTAAACAAATCTGCACATACTTGGTTTTTCATTTAAACATGACTACATTGCACTACATGGGGCAGTGTTGGTCAAGGAGGTGCAACTGAAACCCACCCTAAAACAACAGAGAGTGGTTCGCTTGCTTATTTTCTCAGGTTGAACGAGACATTGGGGCTGATAAAGGGTGAAGAACTCTACACTATCCTTACGTTGTGTTTTACTTTCGTATCCACACGACGTGGGGAACTCTGTGCAACCACTTAACCCTATCCGTACGTCGTGTTTTACTATCGTATCCATACGACGTGGGGGAACTCTGTGCCACCACATTCCAAACTGGAAATTTACTCGTTAATCCGATCCGTACGCTTTGTATAGCAGTCTGTCAAAATGGTTTTTTGAGAAATACTGAAAGTTTCAAAGAGATCTTCACACTAAAAGTATTCTAAAAATGTGAAGAATACAACCTCGGGGGTACAAATTAATGACCCCAAGCGTACGGATAGGG